TGAGGAGTTCTGTCTTGCTCTTGCTCAACAATGGAATGCAAAGCTGTTATGCCGTTAGTCACAGTATATATTCGAAGTACTGTTACACCTGTTACACGTAGCCTACTTTACAGAAATGATCCTCTCGATGCTTTTGAACAGGAAAAAGGGCTACCTCAATTCATACCTCGTGACCTTATTGAGAATCACATGTTTGTTATTGAATGCGCAGCAGGAGAGGTGGGTTCAACAATGTAATTTCTTCCCATGAGAAAATGCAATCATTACAGCCAGATGCACGACAATTCAAGATGACTAGAGGACAAATCCTTGTTGCTGTACCTAATTTCATGCATCCACCGTTTGAATATGGCGATTATGTCATAAGTGTTAATGATGAAGTATTAGAAGACAAAATTCATTTCTATCAAATAGTGAAAGAAATTGCTGGGAAAAAGAAAACTCAAATAGTAAGGGCATATACAATTTAGGAATTTCTACATAAGCAATCCTAAGAGTAGTCCATTAGTCATTTTGGGACCGAAATCGCTCCTTACGGAATTGTACTCTTTAGGAATGATATTTACTACAAGAACATTTTCAAGAGGCTCCTCACGAGCAAGCGCTTGGTTAGAAATGGAGAACCCGCAAATGTTAACGCTATTATCATCATTCAAACAACTGCCCCTTCCTACAAGCGCTTGCAAGTGAGAGGTGTTTGATGAAAACCTGAAATTGTATCGCGATATTAACGAAAATGGTGCTGATATCGAAACTCTGAGTAAAGAAAATGCAATGGACAAAGTGGAGGTTGCATTTTCTTAGCCTAATCACTCAGTGGCTTTAAGGAGCTCCCTCCTCATCGAAAGTCCACCATATCTTCACTCACTTTCTTCGCTTAATGTGGCAGACACGAGAATCATCCCGGGTGCTTTCTGTGAAAACGATTTGATCTGGACAAATCTAGTCCAGATTTACCCGTAAGAAGAACTTCCACTAGACAAACTTTGAAGCTATTGAGATGTCAGTTGTTATTTAGAGGACATTACAAAAACGCTTTGAGCCTGCGAAAAGGGCCTTGAATATGGTTAGTAGTGATGTAATGCATCTCTCAGATAAGTTATAGCTAGAGAATGGTTGGGATC